CCCCAAAACCCCAAAACCCCAAAACCCCAAAACCCCAAAACCCCTAATTTTTTGTAAATTTTTGAGAAAATTAAATTTAAATGTGGGCGTACGAGTTTGCGAAAAAGAAAACTAGGTATAAGGTTAGCTCCCTGAAAAGCTTCCTCAAGGTGAACCACGACTTACCCAAGGTCTGGTTTGAAGAAGATGAGGTTCCTCCACCGTTGAGGACTAATTTCATCCTCAGAGTTTGTAAATTCTTAACAATGTTGTGCCTTTTGATAATTTTTACTTATGTTATGATTGATTTTCAAGACAAAGATTACCAAGACATGTGAAATAGGAGGAAAGAGTGTTATAATTACTGTAATAGAGACTTCTTCCCAGACCTCAAATGTCAAGAGGTCACAGGGATCACATTAATCTATCGAGGGAATGCTTACTCAAAGTTCTTTGCTTATCCTGTTCCCACCAATACTACAAATTTTGATATTTGAAATGGTTTCAAGGAAGACAACATTAGATATCATTTCATCTCCCATCTAAACAGGCAGGCGAGGATCAACACTTGATTTGATTACTGTTCTGCTGGTGTGGGAAGTGATAACAATTTCATTTCTGATGGACGACCATTATGATCAAGCCTGACTATTTCTGAACAGTCGCAGCTTCTCTGTCTTTATCCTGAGGAATCATGAGAGTATACTGTTATTGACTCTGAAGAGGTACTCCTAGGAGATGGGAAGAATGTGATCTCCTTCTCTCCTTTGATCGGGTTCTACGCCATGATCATAATGTCGCCAATATACTTTATCTTTGAAATCCTTTGTATTCTATTGGCGAGGATGAACGTTGATAACCAAAATAGCTTAGGTCAAAGCAGTAAGGTGATGGCATTCCAGGTGTTTATGACATGTATCTTCGTAATAACTTTAATAACTGCTATCCATCACATCTTAATGACGCATGAGCATGGGAGGCCAAATCTACTCTGGCTTACCTTCCTGTTTGCCTTTATTCTTGATCAGATCAAGACATTCATAATTTTAGTCCTCATCTGGTACATTCTAATTAAGCGCTGAGGCTATTTGGCCCAAAATGAGATTGAATTCAAAGTAGTAGAGGACCCTCAGAGTTTGAAGGATGAGAAGTTCCTCCCAGCATTCAAAGAAATGCTGATGAAATTCCTTGAATCAAGCTATTTTGAGAATTCTTCCTTCCTATTAGTTGGAATCTACACAATTTTTATTCTATATTGGTTGGCGATTCAGGACATCCTGAACCTTTTGACTACAGATACGCTGTCAATAATCGATATTGTGTTCACAATTCTATTTTTAGTAGAAATTATTGTGAAAACATTCGCATCAAATTGAAGATACCTTCTTGATAAATTCAACCTCCTGGATGCACTAATTGTGATGATCTCTTTCGTCCTCAACCTGATTGGTATAGTTGCCAAAGGGCTTGGAGTCCTCAGGCTGATCAGAGTAGGTGTCATCACTGTTAGAAGAATCACAGGGAAAGAGACAATTGATCCAGAAGGAGGCGTCATGAAAGTTATGAGACAAATTGAATCTCTCCCTCAGCTAAGTCCAGCTCTGAAGAAGGAATGAACGTGGGCCATAGAGATTATAGAGAATAACAAGCTGTATGATATCAATCTAGAGATGAACAATAATGATAAGAATCTGGAAATGGAAGCTAAACGATGGCTACACCTGGCATCTGATGTATCCAATGATACCTCCCTCTGGTTCGAGCGAGATCTAGATGACTTTTTAAAGGAAATTCATAGAGAGATTGAAGAGGATCATAATAAGCAAGAGGAAGATGATGAGAAAATTAAAGGAATTCTAGATCTTCCAACCAGAAAATGGAACAGACTGGTCAAAATGCTTGACCATTTTGATGATTTCAATTTTGATATTTTCAAGTATTACGAAATTCTTGGAGATTCTACGCTACCACATTTTAGTTTCAGAATTTTCCATAAGTATTCCTTACTTGAAAAGTTCAATATTTCAGAGAATCATTTTAAGCAGCTTTGTACTAAGATTCATGACTCATTTTATGATAAAAGTATCTATCATTCTCCAATGCTAACTATTCAAACAACGCATACGTTCTACTACCTGATCAGGAAGGGCAAAATAATGGTGCATATTTCTGATTTAATCTTAATGGCAGGCCTAATAGCCTCTCTAATTCACGATGTTGGACACCCAGGTGTGACAAACTCCTTCCTAATTTCCACTAAACATTCAAAGGCAATTAGGTATAATGACACAAATGTGCTTGAGAACCATCATTGCGCATTAGGTTTCAAACTCCTCATGGACCCACAAAATGATATTCTCGAAACTCTTAGTGAGGCTCAGAGTTGGAATGTAAGACAAATCATCATCAATATGATTTTGGCGACTGATATTTCAAGTCACTTCGAGCAGTTGCTGGCAATTCAGACAAACAAGAAGTTCCCTGAGGATAATAAGAAGGATAAACAAGCTCTAATGAACATCTTACTATATGCTTCAGACCATGCAATCCCTTGCATGCCTTCCATGTACTACTTCAAATGGATGGTCGAACAGATGGAAGAATTCTACCAACAAGGCGATATTGAGCGCAAACTAGGTTGCAGAATAACCCCCTTCTTCGACAGGACGACCAGTAATCCATTCTTATTCCAACGAGGGTACATTGACGTCATTGTGAGGCCTATATTTACAACAATGACCCAGTTCATGCCTCAAATAAAAGAAGAACTAATTGATTTCGGTCTGGAGAAGAACAAAGACATCATCGAAGAGAAGTTAAATAAAATCAAATTGTAAAAATCAACTATTAGAAGGATTTCAGGGGTTTTGGGGTTTTGGGGTTTTGGGGTTTTGGGG